GGGGGGGGGAGGAGGAGGAGGAGGAGGAGGAGGAGGAGGCGGAGGAGGAGGAGGAGGACGACGACGACGACGGCGACGACGACGACGACGACGACGGGTCGACGACGACGACGACGACGACGACGACGACGACGGCGACGACGACGACGACGACGGACGACGGACGACGGCGGACGACGAGGACGACGACGGACGACGACGACGACGACGACGACAACGCCGACGACGACGACGACGACGACGACGACAACGATGGCGTCGACGGCACCGGCGGCGGCGACGACGTCGAGCACCGGAGGTTTTCGAAAGCACGTCAGCATGACGCCACAATCACAGCCACACGCACACCCACACCACACCCACAGGGGGTGAGGGGGGGAGGACATTGGGTCACCCCACACACACCCACAGCGACACACCACACCCACACCACATCCACAGGGGGAGGGGGGGGGGGGGGCCATCGCGCGGGGGGGGGGGCGGGGGCATTAGCATTGGGGGGGGAGGGGGGAGCCCAAACCCTCGACCATATATGTGGCCAAGTCTCTGTAGTGAAAGCTATGTGCTTCAATCTATGTAGTGCAATCTATGTTGTGCCATCTGTGCAATGCATCATGTGTGGTGCACCCTAGGTTGTGCAACCTGTGGTGTGCAACATATGTGGTGCAGTCTATGTTGTACAATATACGTGGTGCAATACATATATATATATATATATACATATATACACATATCGCTAAATAGATATTCCTATTCATATATGTCTAAAAGCTCGGGACGCCGGAAACCCTCGCCCCTCCCCCTAACCAATTTGGCCCTCGCCTGGCCTCTGGGTAACCCTTCAGACGACCTCGGAGAACCTCACGAGAGCCCGAAGACGGCCCTAGACGGGTTCCAGGCGTTCTGGAGCGCCCCCGAAACGACCCCAAAGAGCCCCAATACAGTCCACGACGATCCTGAAGAAGCCGTCATACCCCCAAAGATCGCTCCAAAACGTCCCAAGAGGCCTCCAAGAGCACTCCCAAGAAGAAGGCCCCAAGAGGCAAAAATCATTATTTTCTTTTGGCTTTTGGTGAATTTTGGGGTTCTCCTCTTTTCGGTTTCCCGACGTTCCAAGACGGCGGTCTTCTGGGCGTCCGAAGCCGCCTGGGAGGCTCCCAAATCGCCCCACAACCATCCGAAAGGGCTTCCAGGCAGTCCAAGAGAGCCCCAAAACGGCACAACAGGGGTCCAAGATGGCCCTAAAAGAGCCCCATGGCGGCCCAAGATGGCCCCCAAACACCCTCCGAAGCATTTCAAATCGTGACCCGGTCGTTCAGGGAGACCGCGGTTGGAGGCGGGGTGACCCGAGGAAGGCCCCCAGAGGCCCCCAGAACACGCCCAGGAGGCCTCCAGAAGGCCTTAAGAAAGCCTGAACAACTTTTGTGAGGCCCCCAGAGGCTCGCCAAGAAGGAGCCTCCGCAAAAAGAGCTGAGGAGGATGGGGAGACTGCGCAGGGTATGGCGAGAATGAAGAAAAAGAAGCGTGGAGGAAGGATAGCGAATGACATTATTATAACGGACGGCGATACCAGACTAGATAACAAGGAATTATCGCTAAATTGTCGGCTCGACCTTCCTGCCCTTCCGCCTGCATACCAAACTTCAAGGACCAAGATGCATGGCGCGAAGCGCCACTTCAGTCTTGTACATATATATATATAGATAGATAGATCGATAGATACACATGCTGTGCAATGTATGTGGGGCACCCTGGTTTGCACCCCAACCCCCAGCTTGTAAAACCATGGGGAACGACATCTACATATTTATATATATAGAGAGAGAAAGAGAAAGAGAATGAGAAAGAGAAAGAGAAAGAGAGAGAGAAACAACAACAACAACAACAACAACAACGAGAGAGAGAGAGAGAGAAAGCACAACCAAAACGAGGAGGAGCAGCAGCAGGAACATAGTCCCAAGGAAAATGATAAATGAGGAGAGGGGGTGGAGAAGGAGGAGGAAAAGGAGGAGGAGGCAGGAGAAGAAGGGGAACAATGAGGGCGAGGGGGGGAAGGACAAGCTAGGTGCGCTCGCGCCATATCTGACACCCTACCCCTGCCACCCATCCACTTGCACTGCGCTGATGCTTTGTCTGTTTTCCGACGCGTGTCATAGCGTACCCAGAATTCCAAAACTGACCCCCTCGTGATCTGCGCTGCGCAATCGGAAGCATGGAGCTGCGTACATTGGAAGAGGGGGGGGCGGATGAGCAGGAAGAAAAAGAGGATGATAAGGATTGAGGAGGACGAGGACGAACAGCGGCAGAACGAGCTGGAGTGGAAGTAGTGGGAGGAACAGGAGGACCATGGGGAGGCGGCGGAGGGGAAAGGAGGGGGGGCGACAACAATGAGGAAGGACGCGGATCCAGGACAGCGTTCCGCGCTGAGGCGGGAAGGCCATTCCAAACGACGTGATCAAAGCGCCGATCCTGGTACACGACCGGAGTGTAAAACAGCCATCGGAAAACAGCAAGTTAAAACTCGGCGCGTAAAAACATTACGCAGAGGGGGAGGGCCACTCCTTGGCCATCGTCGGGGGAGGGAGGAGAGAGCAGGCCCGAGTGCAGCATTGATATTGGGGAATTGTGGAAGGCAGAAGTGGAGAGGAGTTGGATGAGGGATGAGTGGGCAGGAGCGGGAAGGGGGCAGAAAGGGGTCGCGATAAGCACGCTGCACTCGACAAGGGGTGAGTCGGACGGAGGCCAAATTTTACCAGCATGGAGACCCCAAACCATAAACAGCAACGCGACCGAACAAGGCACATCGCACTTGAAAACTGAACACTGTACGGACCCGGGATGGTACGGGGGCACGGCACGCCACGACACTCGGGCGGCAACCTCTTCGCATTCCAGAAGCTAGGCACGGCACAGCACGGCAACGGCGCAGCGCGGGCGGCACCTTCTTCGCTTTCTGGATGCGAGAACCGCACTTCTTATTATGAGAGAGACCCCTTACAGCAGTAGCTGTCAGGGAGAACAGTTCCCCGCGCGCCTTCAAAACTTCCTGCAAGCGTTCGTGCCGAATTACGCGCTGTTTTTTGTTTTGCTTTTTTTTGTTTCTCTCTCTCTCTCTCTATATATATATATATATCTTGCTCCTCGTCCTCCTCCTACTCCACTTCATCCCCCTCCTCCTCCTCCTCCTCCTCATCACCCACCCCCCCACCACCACCACCACCACCACCACCACCACCACCACCACCACCACTATCATCATCATCATCATCATCATTATCATCATCATCATCATCATCATCATCATCATCATCATCATCATCATCCTCATCCTCATCCTCATCCTCATCCTCATCCTCATCATCATCATCACCGCCACCATTATAATCATCATCACCACCATCTGACCATCACCATCATCATCACACCATCACTATCACCGTCACACCATGACCATGCTCACCATCATCATCTCCACCACCACTGTCATCATCATCATCATCATCGTCATCCGCATCCTCATCCTCATCATCATCATCGTCATCATGATCATCCTCGTCACCATCATCATACTCATCCTCACCAGCATCTGATCATCATCGTCATCCTCATCCCCATCATCGTTATCATCAGCATCCTCATGATTATCATCATCGTCGTCGTCATCAGCATCAGCATCAGCATCAGCATCATCGTCATCATCATCATCATCCTCATCCTCATCACCATCCTCATCCTCATCCTCATCCCCATCCTCCTCCTAATCCTCATCGTAATAATCATCATCATCATCATCATCAATATCATCATCATCATCATCATCATCATCATCATCATCATCATCATCATCATCATCATCAACCTCATCATCATCAGCATCATCAGCATCATCATCATCGTCGTCGTCGTCGTCTTCGTCGCCAATATCATCGTCGTCGTTGTCGTCGTCGTCCTCATCCTCATCATCATTATCCTCATCGCCATCGCCATCGCCATCACCATCCTCATCGCCATCGCCATCGCCATCGCCATCGCCATCGCCATCCTTTCTCTCTCTCTCTCTCTCGCTCTCCTTCCCTGTGCTCGCGCGCCGGGGGCCCCAGAAAACGGCGCCGGAGGCGAGGTGCGCGCGAGAGCCTGGCGCGTGAGCAGCGTCGTCTGCAAACAGCGCACGCGGGGGGCACGGACGTCAGAAACAGTAACTATGTCTTGATCCCGAGCTGCTCACGAGGGGATACGAGGGGGATGTGAAACTACTTCTTGATAGCGAGCTGTTCACGGCGCACTTCCCGAGGCTGACCGAGGAGAAGCCAGAGAGGTGTGTCTACTGAGGCTGTACTCCAGAGCGGGTGCAGCATCGACATCAGTACACACACGCACGCCACAGATAGAGTAACTTCGATGGCAGATTTTTTGGGGGGGGGCTCGCTGGTTTCCCAGGGGCGCCGCTCTGTGCCCTGCGCCATGCATCACCGCTGGATGCCGTTACGAAGCCTGCCGCTGTGCCACTGGGACGTTACAGGATGAAGCAGCTCAGTTAGACATCCCTTGGCAGATCGACTGCTTCTTTCCGCGCACGGAGGAAGGTGTGAAGGGAAAAGGACAGGACGACCTGGAGTTTCGCACGGCGAGGGCGATGCAAGGGGCAGAGGAAGGACTGCCTACAAGCCTCGTCAGACATATCCAGAAACGGAAGTTGAAATCCTGGAGCGCGATGCTTTCGGGCACTTGTCAGAAAACGCGTTCTTCAATGCTGAGAGGACGGGGTCGGTTTTTGGACAACGCCGCGTCCGAGTCAACAGACATCCGTCAGCATTGGAGTAGCGCTGACCCCACGATCACCGAATACAGAAGTCTTCTGTTTATTCTTGACGAGCCTTGTAGGAAGGTTGAGAGGAGACTTGGCGAACGCGGGGTGGTGAGAGCACGAGAGGTACGATCAACAGAGGAAGGAGGCGAATGGAGGGGCCGGCGGGCAGATACCCTCCCCGAAAACACGTCACCTTCTCCTTCTCCTTCGCAGCGTCCACGTCGGGCAAATCTTCTCCGAAGACGCTGTGAAAATTGGGGTCTATTGCCGGCTCGCCGTCATCATCGTCCTCATATTCCTCATCGTACAGGTCCATAACCCCGTAGTCCCAGTTCTCGTCCTGGTCCCTTGCCTCGAAGTCACCATCCCTGGAGTCTTTCCAGTCAATATCGCTGGCAGCCTCCAGTGAATGTCAGTCCGTGGGGAAGCAGGCTATGAGGGGGAGAGTTGGACAAGCAGAGCGCCTGAGAATGAAGGCGAAGGGGCAAAGCGAGAGGTGTCTATGTGGCCACAGGGGCGAGGGGATCGAAGGCAATTCGCGGGGACTGGAGGCAAAGGGACCGAATGCGAGAGGAGATGCGGCGGGGCAGGGGGACGGGTGGCAGGGGGACTGCGTGCGAGGGTTCTAGAAGCAGGGTGTAAGACGAAACGAACCAGAGCTCAAATCAGAGCGTCCAGTGGCAGGAGGCGCGCTATTGCCAAACGGCCCACAAGCACTACCTGCATAAGGAGAATTTGGCTGGTGCCTCTCATCAGAACTGCGACCCGTTCAAATCGTCATGCGTGCGCGGGGACACGTTGGACGTGCAAGATGCTCCAGGACAGCGCGGTTTCCTGGGTCGGCCATGGCTGGGATGCTGGCATCTACTGAACGAATAACCCACAGCCCAAGCACGGTGGCGGGAGTTGCCGAAGGTAGCTGGATAAAGTAGAATAGGGTAGAGCAGAATCGATTAGAGTACGGCAAAGTCGAACATATTGGGAACAGGGTAGAGTAGAGTGAGGTGATTAGGGTCGGATATTTTAAAAGAAGAGAATGGTAGAACAGGTAGAGGGTAGAATAGAGTCGGGTAGAATAAAATAGAATGGAGTAGAGCCCACCCCAGTCCAGTCCAGTCTACTCCAATCCAGTCTACTTCAGCCCGCTCCAATCGACTTCATCTCAGTCTCCTGAAAAATTTGAAGCCTGCGGTGGCTGATACCAATGTGTTCAACAACGATCGGTTTTCTGGAATGCCTTCCGATGGTTTCCTGTAGGTATCCCGCGGGTTTCTGCAACTTCCATACATCTCCCGTTACGTTTCTTCGCGCATGCTGCGACACCGTGGGGTGCTCGTTCAGCTTCGGCTCTCTCCAGCGGGAGGCCCCAGACACCGGAAGCAATGTGCGCCTTCACCTGTCTGCGGGGGTGCGCAACAGAAGGGTCGCTGCCGCGCCCGGGCACCGGCACACAATGCCTCCGAGACCACCGAAGCGTGGACAGCTGCGCATCGCTGGCTCGATCTTGGGTGTAAAGGCCCAGTCGTACGACCGGCGCGCTGACCCCACCCCCCTTCGCGACAAGGGGTGCGTCGAGCATTCGTCGCCCGTGCGCCGGCCACCGAGAAGGCCAGCCGTCCTCGCGAACGCGCATGTCGCCCTCGCACGGGGCAATTCGGTGAGTGCGTCGCCAGCGCGGCGGGCACCCACGGGGCGGATCGCACGCGCGTCGCCCGCTCCACGGCCGCCGAAAAGGCCGGTCGCTCTTCTCCCAGGATGCCCGGAAGAAGAGCTGGTGCGCGGTCAGGAAATGTCCGCTCGGCGTGTCGCGGCGGCAGCCCCCGCGTCGCGCCTCGCCGTGCCAACTGGCCGCGCGGCGCTCTGCCTCTCGGGACGGGATGCCTGGAAGAGCTCGGAGCGCGGATGCCCGGGAACTGGGACGTGCTGGGCGTGTCGTGCCGAGGCGTGGCTGGCCGGAGCTCACGGCGCGACACGCTGAGCACACGTGCCCGACCATGGGTCAGCGATGCTGGCAGGCGGGAGTCCTTCCGCGATTCCCCGCGGTGCAGGAGTCGATCTCCGCAGCGTCCCCCAGGACCCAAGTGGGAAAGCCTGCGTGAGTCGCTCAAGCCAACCCAAAGGTTCCCTCAACTCCAAGACGAGTCAAACTTGTGGAAGAGGACGTCCAACATGGAGGAGCAAGACGCCAGGAACTGCGGTTGAAACCTCCATCTAGGAGGTCCTGAGGGCTCTGGGGAGCATCCTGGCGCGATTCCTCACGTCGCATCAAAGATGCCCCCAGAGGCCGTGAGGCGCACGAGACTGGGATCCCATCCTCCTCCCATGGTCCTGCTGCATCTCCTCCTCCTCCTCCTCCTCCTCCTCCTCCTCCTGCGCCTCCTCACTGCGTTGCGACCTGAGGCAGAATCCGATAGTCAGGTCAGCACCGCTGTAAAGGGCTTCGCTGCCCTTCCTCTCCCAACACCCGGCGCCTCCCATGCGGGCGCCATCGGGGTCCGAAGAGTGCCCAGGGACGCTCTCGCGCGGTCGGCGTCCAGATAGGACGCAGCCGAATCAGTTACGCGCTCAGACGACGACACGCCCCCATGGTGTCCTCGGGAGCCCTTGCGGACACCATCCCTCAGCTGAGCCAGAAAGCTGCCGCCGAGCGGGGGCAAGAGGGTGAACTGAGCTCGATCAGAGGACGGGGGACGGGCCTACCAACCAGGTAGCCCACAGCGAACCGAAACATCCGAACAGGCTGGCTTAAAGGCTCCTGGCCAGGAGCCGAAAGGCTGCACGCGCTCGAGGCTGCACGGCACCAACCAGGCAAGCCTGCTTGCTGTGTCCCTCCCCGCTCCGAGCTGCTCGAGAGAGCCCTTCGAGCCCACGCCTCGGCACAGCGCGGCGCTGCACGGCGAGCCAAAGCCTCGGGCCACCCCTGGCGTCGTCCTCCTGCGGCTGAGGCTGCGGACCAGCCTGAGCGAAGCACTGGGGCCCTTGTGGGCCCTCCTCCCGGCCATCGCCGGGGGGAGGGTGAGGCAAAACGAGAAGTAAAGGAATATTCACAATACTACGAATAAGAACACTGTTACTGAAGATAGCAGGAAGAAAAAACAACCAGCATAATAATACCAAGAAGAAGGAACTACCGAACGGCTGACGGATGCTCCTTCTCCTCCTCATTTCTTCTTCCCGACGGCACCGGAACACGAAAGCCGCAGCGAGGCAACGAAGTAAGAAGAGGAGAAGGAGAGGAGGAGGAGGAGGAGGAGGAGGAGGAGGAGGAGGACTAGTGTAAACCCAAGAGTCATCAACGATGTTGGAATTAACCCTCCCTCCAAGCTCTCTCTCTTCACAGACCCCTACAACGGTTCATTTCCATTTAGGGAACTCGTTGGGAGACAACCGTTTGAATACCCTGAAGCATGCCAAAACATTGTTCTCGGGATTTCAACGCCACGGATCAATCTGACTGCTGCGTCTTGACGATCCGGAATCGTGCCAGAACGCCGTTTTTGGGACTTCAACACCGCGAATCAGCATAACTGTTGCACCCGCATAATCGTGAATCCTTCCCAAACACCATCTCTGATACGCTGATCATGGAAATCCGTGAACACTTGCACGTGTTTCAAACGAATGTGCGCGACGCTAAGGCGAGAGCCACATTTTGAAAATGAGCCGCTCCCAATCCGTGAAACTCTTGCAAGATTTTAAAACGGATGTGCGCGGCGCCAGCGTGAGAGCCACATTTTGAAAACGACCCGCCCCCAAATCGTAAAATTCTTGCAAATGTTTGAAACGAATGTGCGCGGCGACAGCGCGAGAGCCACATTTTGAAAACTACCCGCCCTCAATCCGCAAAGCTCTTGCATTTTTTAGAACGAATGTGCGCAGCGCGAAAGCGAGAGCCACATTTTGAAAACAACCCGCCCTCAATCCGCGAAACTGTTACAATTGTTTGAAACGAATGTGCGCAGCGCTAATGCGAGAACCACATTTTGAAAACGACACGCCCCCAATCCGTGAAACTCTTGCAGATTTTGAAACAACTGTGCGCGGCGCTAGGGCAATAACAATACTTTAAAAATGAACCGCCCCCGATCCGTGAAACCCTTTGCAAATTTTTGAAACTAATGTGCGCGGCGCTACAACGAGAGCCACATTTTAAAAACTACCCGCCCTCAATCAGTGAAACTCTTGCAGTTTTTCAAAACGAATGTCCGCGGCGCTAAAGCGAGAGCCACATTTTGAAAACAACCGGCCCTCCATCTGTGAAACTTCTGTCACTTTTAAAAGCTTCAAAGTCATAATTGGTGAGGAAGTCTCAAGCGAAACGCCCAGCCCGCCCTAAAGACTGGCCTCTGGATGCGACGCGGAGACATTATTCATAAGGAAAAAGAATGGAGGAGGAGAAGGAGGAGGAAGAGGAGGAGGAGGAGGAGGAGGCGGACGAGGAGGAGACAAATGGGTACTGCGAGAGCTGGTTGGGTGCCGCGCACACACCGGGCGCCCTTCCCAATACTGCGAGGGTTGATCAGGTGCTGCGCACACCCGGGTGAGAACCCTCGTCGTTTCCTGCCCACCTTCGCCACGGCAAAGGACATGTGGGAGGGATCGCATGTCGGGCGCAACGTGAGCGCAGCTAGCTTGTCCTTCTCCCCCTCCCCCTCTCCTTTTTATCTTTCCTTTTCTCATCCTCCTCTTCCTCCTCATCATCATCATCCTGTTCCTCTGGTTTTTTTGGGGGGGGTGCTGCAGTGAAAAAGCAAGGTACTAATGTGGAAAGGCCTTGGGAGGGGAGGGTGTTCTGCGACCGAACGATGTCGACCAGGGACGATTGAATAAATACTCCGCTGCCGCGCCCGCGGCGGTTTTGCAGGTGTCGGGCCATTCCTTTTTCGTATTTTGCCTAGTGTGAAACAATAGGTGAGCCCGCCCCCCCCCGACGCATCGTCCCTTCTTTTACTTGCCTTTTAAAGGGCGCGCCGGTGCGTGGACCCTACCCCTCTCGGGCGCCTGCCCACCTCCTCCCCCTTCCCCGTTTTCCCATGTCGGCGCGTCCTGCCCCCCAGTCGGACAAGGTGGTCTCCTCGCCCTGGTCCCACGTTTCCTCTAAAGTTGACCCCACGGGGGCTCCATGAACGCCCAGCCCGAGAAGGCAACAAGTTGCTTGCCAGAACGCCTACGAGAGGCAATCATATTATGAGTAATGAAGGGGATACTCACAACAATAACAATACGACTGACAGCAATACCAGTAATACTACAGACGGAGAAAACAAAGTTTGAAACGAAATTCCTCACTTTCGCATGGAAGTACTTGAGCACGCATCATATCAACGGCAACTTCCATCAGTCACCAGGCGCTGCGCGCACGTCGAGCCGACGTGGGCCAGAAGATTGACTAAAACTCTG